CGAAAATATAGATGTAAAACAGTGTATATGGGTGGTAGTGGTAAGATCTCAAGGTGCGCAGAGGTACTTACACCGTGGTCATCACGGCAAGCTCTTATCATCTAATGGGGGACACACTCGTAAGCAAATCTAGATATATCTAGAGATAAATGACCACCATTTTACTGAGATTATATTTCATCCCATATCATCTCATCTCATTTAATTTAATTTCATTCCATATTATCATCTATACTAATATTATAAAGAGGAAAGATTTGTTTGTTTGTTTGTTTCGAATAGGCTCCGAAACTACTGGACCGATTTGAAAAATTCTTTTTCCATTAGAAGCCGACATTGTCCCTGATGAACATAGGCTACATTTTTAATTTTTTTTTTAATTTTTTTTTTTTGGTTTCATGTGTCTTTTAATGTTTCCGAAGCGAAGCGAGGGCGGGTCGCTATTTTTCATAAAATAATAATATAAATTAAAATAAGACATGATTTAAAGGTCTTAGTTATCGGGTCATAAAATCCCTTCAAAAATGATCATCTAGTCTAATCTGTGGGCTATGCGAGAGAGCCCTACAATGCAGCAGTAGTAAATGCTTCAGCGCCAATGACTATTCTAGAACATTTGAATGGTATTAACCTTTTACCATTTGAAAAACATAGAACAAAACCACCCAGACATGAACTTAAAACTTTAGAAAGTTTTGGAATGATATTTGTCCTTTAAAATAAATTATACGAACAAAACTAATTGAAAAGTAATACGGCTTATCAATTTACAAGAAACAACTCTTTGTAAGTCAATATTTGATTAAATTTATGGGTTTCCAAATAGGTTTAAAACATATTCTCCATGAAAACTAGCACAGAAGCCCTGGATACAAATGGATACCCTTCTAATTGAATGTCATTTTCGAACTAATGACTCGGGGATCAATCGGCTCCCTTTGAGATCTTAATTATGTTTATACGGAACCATTAACTCTGAACCAGTTCAGTTAATCGATCCGATCCGAACAGTTAAGTCCGTTTGAAAGTTTAAAACACTAAAGAGACTTTGGGAATTCGTAATCGAATTGACGAACCTGGCTACCGGCTTTACAGAAAATGATGACATTCGTTTTATTACAGCTCGTAAAAATATATTAACGTAAGTAGTTTTTATCTCGTGGCCGGATAATAAAATCGTACATTAGCGTTATTGTGAAATTAGTGACTAGTAAAAGCCTTGAATTAAATGGGCGCTTGTAAATGCTTCTTGGTTATATCGAATTTTCCTTCATTCATACCAAGATGCCCGATGCGGCCAGAACAAATTCGGAATATACCCAATTAAGCGAAGTGACTATGCAGGAATAATTCGTTCGAGAGGGGATAGAGCCAGGTGCTACCGAGAAACCGTAAAGACCCGCCATCGTGGAACGAATGAGCATGTCAATCAATTTAATTAATCATTGAAGTTTCCACAATGAACGTTATCCGTTCCAATGAAATTGGCTACGTCGCGCTTTCTCACGGAAGTCGAAAATAGTTACGGAATAGGCATCGTTACATACTTTTACATATAACGTTGATCAACTACAGGATTTTAGATGTAACTATTCTGTTATCAATTATATGAGAAACAAATTAAACATGAATATGCTGCATATTGTTGGTTCCTAAGTTCTACCGCTAGCCATCTTGTACATATTTTTTTCAAAATGACAGCAAACTTTAGGCGAAATGTTTGTAATAGTCTCTTCTAGTCGAGTCCTAGAATTCGCGGCAAGGACTCTGGACCATCCAAAAAAGTTTTTAATAGTATATAATGCTTGGAATTTAGTATAATCGGGTTTGCGTTCACTTGGTTTTGCTAGTACCAAACAGCTTACTTCCAAAACGAAACAGTCACGACCTTCGACCTAATGTCTTCGAATAGATATTCATGCTATGCGGTCTATATCGGCGCCGACTTAGCCCCAGATTGGAGTCTCGTGTGGATAGCGAAATTTACTTTATGTAGTAATACTAGGAGTTGTTTCTTGCCTAGTCCGAGTTCTATCTTTGCGTGAATCTGAAACTTGGGTAGAAAAGCGACGGTGGCGGGTTTGATTCTTTTGAACATACCTTACAGACCAAACCAGTAGCTTAGTCAGGTGATTCAGTTTTTCGTTGCAAAAAAGACGGGCTGTGATTTTGTTTGCCCACTGTTTCTAAGTGTGTATTTGTGTCACCTTCTATGTGTGTACTGTTGAAATTCGTTTTGAAACACGTTCAACACTGAATTGTCTTTTTTTTTTTTTTTAATTCTATGGAGTCATTTACACGGTCCAATAGACGCGTTACACCTTTTAAGGTCTAAACGGAGAAGTCGTGACCAATAAATATAATCCGTTTAAAGGTGTCAACATAAGACTCTGTGATGTTAAGCCTTTTACGAGTCCCGTGTCCATTTATATGTCACCGTGAGTTGGAACGGCGGCGGGGCTCACTGCACTATAAAATATTAAGCTTATGCCGACGTGTAGTATATAGGGCCGATTTGAAATGCTTTTGAAGTATTTTAAACGCGGTTCATCAAGCAATGTTTTATTCGTATTGGACATATATTCGACACATTAAGATTTAGATTTAGAAAACATATAAAGTTTTATATTTTCTTTATTGTTTTGTTTTTGCTTTTTATTTTCTTGGACCTTGTCCTTTTCCAAATGAAAAATAAAGCGTTTTATCTTTACAAAAAAATCTGATTTCTTCTTAACTTTGCAAGGTATTGTTAACTTACTACCCAAAAAGAAATTTCCAAATCTTGAGAAGTTAGACGGGTAAAATCGATTTTGTTTTTTACTTTTTTAACGTTTAGATCGGTGGAAGAATGATAAATGGTTACCAGAGCCCAGTCGCAACGCTTAATCCTTAATTAATAAGAAAATAAAAGTAAGACTGCATGAATAAAGAAAGGGATTTGTACAGAAATAGTTCATATTGGTTCGAAGGTAGTGACGTAACCCTGGTGTTTAATTTTCCCAGATTTCGAGTTCACATTAAGAGGTTACGTTCGTAGTATTTCATAGGTTTTGACGTGATGTTTTAACTATTCGTTTAGTTTTCACTATCATTTAGTTTATTTAGAAATTTAGTAAGTGTGCGAAGAAACAAATTCATGTTCGGCCTTGGAGATAATATGTTCGACTTAACTTGAATTTAGCGCAATACAAAAACATTTGTTTATGCTGACATAGGTAGTGATTTGTTTTGCAATGAAATATATTCGCTGACAGGGAAAATAAATTTCTTTTATCGTAAATTCAACGCCGCTTCAAAATTACACGTATCATCCGATCAAGACCGCATTTTTTCAGTGGTCGAAAAGTAAGTTTGAAAACCAAACGTCAAAAATTTGTCTAATTTTCAACATTCGTAAGCTGGTTTATATTTGCCTGCGTTATCAGTACCGGAGCTAAATACATCTTACTCAGATCCTCAATACCATTCACAAAGATCTCTGATTTCGACTACCGATTCCCGTGTTACAGTATAGAAGCCACTGGTGGTAGGACCTCTTGTGAACCACCACCACAGGTGGGTACCACCACCCTGCCTATTTCTGCCGTGAAGCAGTAATGCGTTTCGGTTTGAACGGTGGGGCAGCCGTTGTAACTATACTTGAGACCTTAGAACTTATAACTCAAGGTGGGTGGCGCATTTACGTTGTGTATGTCTATGGGTTCCAGTAACCACTTAATACCAGGTGGGCTGTGAGCTCGTCCACCTATCTAAGCAATAAATAAATAAATAAATAATGTCATTAAGCGCTTGACCAACGGAACGGTTCCATATATTCTACTAAATAATGTTGTTATGATCAGTTCGAATGTCTGCTCTGTTCTACAATTGATATTTGAAATCATTCGTCTGGAATCACCGCAGACCACATGTCGTATTGCATGCATATTGTCAGGACAATAACCTTGCATTCCTGAGACGTTCGATTCGCAATGTAAACTGACTTCTATGGTAAATGCATACAACGTATTTTTGAAGAGCAATATGAACGAACGTATTGTTGGTACATTCGACTACTTCATGAACATTCATTTGCTATTTATTGAATTGTTTCAAATTAGTGTTGCCAATTTAACAATTATAATTCAAGGTTCCCTTTTTTAGGATTACTTAGTAGAGTTCTAATAAAATTGGAAAATCCATTGAGCTTTTTGGGCGGTTTTTTTTGGGAACGCTTTGTCTTTTTAGCAGCTGATGTTTATTATTATTGACAACAGGTATTTCTATGCGTTAAACATTTGCAAACATTGCAAGTAGTTTATATTCAACAAACTAGTCGTATGTATGTTTTAGTGTTATCTATATATTAATATGTGAAGGAAAAACTTTGTATCCCTTTTTACGAAAATTCCGCGGACGGAGGAGTATGAAATTTCCCACACTTATAGAGAATACTCGTATAGAGAAGAAGTGCACAATGCTAATATTTTTTTTAAATAATGCATAAAAGGTACATTAAATCAATAAAGAAAACATTACACACACTACATACCATGTATTTGACGCACACACGCATGCACACTATTTATTTATTGTCAAACTTTTGTTCTCGACGTCTGTGGTCAAATTGAGAATAGATTAAATATTTTTTGTCTTTATTAATATTTGTCTGTAGTTTGGTCTTGGCGAGGTCTGAGAATAAAGAAGTATTTGGCAATAGAACTTTAATAATGTTCAAGCTTATAATTTCAATTAATTATAGTCGAATTTCGACTACGGCGGGACCACCAGTTCATTATAAAAAATCCTTTAAAAAATACCTTTACTTCAATGAAAATAAATTTTCAAAGCATCAAAGTCTAGACATTTTTATGACGCACAATAATCAAAGCCGAGATCTCTACTAATTATATCTCAGAAAAACGTTGCCTTCACAAATTTAATTACTCAGCATTGATCGGTCACGGTGTAATAAAAGTGTAAAAAAAAATAACAATTAAAATTTCTAATTGTTTATTAAATAAACAACTCTATACACAAACAATATTGTCATAACGTTTTGACTTGAAAATTTTTAAATATACACAACATCTATTTTTACAATACATAATTATTTGTAACTACATTTTTGATATTCTAATATCACAGATTTAAATTAAAGTTATTATCAAATTACGATTAGTTAAATGTTTAAATACACATTTTTTTAAACAAAATTAAATATACTAATTAGTACTATGTTCTTTACATTATAGAATCAATAAAGCCACAGTGAATATTTATCACAACCTAAAATTAAAATTGTCTTTATCAGATAGGCACGTATTAAAAAGTAACGCATGTAGTAAAAACTTAAAGAACATACTAACATAAAAAATTACTGAGCATACATGTATGTAGACATTATTCAGGAATAAAAATTGCAGGTTTGTATTTTAAAACTATGTGATATTTGTGTTTTGAACTTGAACATCAGAAATTTGGAACACCTGCGTTTGTTTTTATAAACTCCGACAAGGTCTAATTTTGATATCCCAGACAACAATAAAATATCTATGCAAATTTAATCTATTGCACTCACAACTAAGAAAGGATCACAATGAAGTAAAAAGTAACAACTTAAAGAATATCATTAAAAAGTTGCGTCCACTTGTGTTATCTCGGGCAAAACTTAAAGTGGGGGAAGAGGAAACAGTGCAGCGATAGGAACCTGCAACAAAGAAAATATAAAAAACTGTTTTATATCTCAGTTGCTCATTAAGTTCGACTTTGCTTGTTGATGGGAAGTTTTTGAAGAAAAACGATAGATACTTGGTTAGTGTTGGAGGTAAAGGATAGTATGTATATTTTTATTACAATAACATATCCTTAATATCGTCCACATATACATACATATACATATGTACACAACTGCTTAATTTACTCTACCTCGTATTGATAAAAAGTGAGCCGATAGATTCCATCTAGTATTAATAAAATACATAAGAGTTTAATATGAAATCACTATGTTACTGACCGAAGCAAAGACTGGTTCAAGATTGTAATTTTTGCAAGTACGCTTAGTTAAGATCGAAAGAGTTGTAGTAATTGGTAATTAGTTTGGTAGTGGTTGTTTTTTTCCCTCTAATTTCTGGTAGTCTGGAAGGGCACAGTTTGGTAGACGAGGTCAAGGGGCTCCTATCCCATCAGCTCACAGACGTCCACTGCTGGGCATAGGCCTCCCCAAGCCTCGCCACAAAGATCGGTCCTGCGCAGCCTGCATCCAGCGGATCCCCGCGAACCTCAGTAGGTTGTCGGTCCATCTTGTGGGAGGCCTACCCACGCTACGTCATCCGGTACGCGGTCGCTACTCAAGAGGCTCGGTCTTAGATAAATTGCTAACACAGCCCCAGCAAGAGCAGCGATTCGCTCATTCGACCACCGAAACCACAGATAACCCTCAATATGTGACCGACACGGAATAGCCACCCACTGAGAAAACCACCGAGAAACTCCATGGGTTGTGTGTGTCGATTAGGTTGCATGTCGAACACTGCTTGGAGTGCCTAAAAGCACCGAGAGTGGATCGGCAGGATCCGTATGACATGTTTAGGGTGACGGTGACTGGGCCGGAAATATAATTCGTGGCGGCCACGATAAAAGGGTTATAGTGCCACCCAGTATTCTCGAAGAAGCGTTCTGTCTTCAGATGACACTTACATAGGTAGCGGTTGTAGTTGGATATATACGTAATCAAGTAAAAAATGAACAGACTTCATGTTGGTTTCTTACTTTGCTTATTTCCAATACTGCTTAGTACCAAAAACTAGTTTTTGCTTACCTCGTAGGATCGTATCTAGTGTCAAATCCAGGAACGTTCACGACATTCCATTCGTCCTTCGCTTTGGAATAGCTAAAGGAGATCTGATCCCTAAATGTCTCCGGCGGAAGAAGTTTCATCTGCTCCAAGTGAGAATGAAACTCCGGGACCAGAGTCAAATTCTTCTTCATTAGATGCTCTAAAAATAAATTAATTCTCATTATAACTAAATAAGATAATGTAACAGTTAGACTTGATATAACACCTACCTATAATAAATCCTACAGAAACGTCATCCGGTAACCGTATGCCTTCACAAATACTTATAAATCTTCCACCGCTGAAAGAAAAACAACACTTTAACTTGAGGAATGAAATTGCCAAGCGTTTATTATTCAGATTCCATTAATAATTCCGTTAAAAAGGTCAGGAGTTGCGCCACTCTGAACTCCATTGTGCAGGCATTTTAATTTCAGACAAAAGTTTTAAGCACTCACCTTGCAACAGGTAGCATTTTAAGAGCTAAACTTCTGCTTATGCAGAATCCAGCGCCGCCGGTGGCGAACCAAAACGAAAACATCAACTGTAACAAATAAAAACAAATAAAGCTTTGTTCACTATAGCTTTAAAACATAATAAACATAATAATTTAAAACATAATTCACTGGTGGTAGGACCTCTTGTGAGTCCGCGCGGGTAGGTACCACCACCCTGCCTATTTCCGCCGTGAAGCAGTAATGCGTTTCGATTTGAAGGGTAGGGCAGCCGTTGTAACTATACTGATTATATCTCAAGGTGGGTGGCGTATTTACGTTGTAGATGTCTATGGGCTCCAGTAACCCCTTAACACCAGGTGGGCTGTGAGCTCGTCCACCAATCTAAGCAATAAAAAAATTAAAAAAGTGTCTTCAGAGATTTTACCTTATTCGTTGGTTTCTTGTATATTTTGACCGGCTCGTAAACAGACGTTCTGCCTAGATACCAATCTTCTTGGTGCTTGTAGGTTTGTAGCACGCTCACCAAACGAGGGACATTTACGTAGTTGTCGTCGTCAAAGTGACAGAACCATCTGTTAGAACAAATATATTGCGATCAGATATAATTAAAGGATACACGTATTGGGAAAGCTACTCGACAGAAGCTGAATAGCGATTTAAAGTTTATATTTTTTTGCGTAATAAAGTGCCCAATTACTTTAATAACAACGCGGAGGACATAAGAAGTAGTTATCAACTTGATCAAGACAGGACACTTGGTATTAAAAGATAATTACAAAATTGTGCTTTAGATGCGGGCTGCGTCGAACTGTGGAAGTGCTGGTGCCAATATAATTAGCTTTGCGGTATAATTTACCGACATTACGTTCAGTTGCAAATAACAGCGTTGCGTCCGCGCAATCCATGACCACATACTGCAGAATGGCGTACGACAAATGACTCCGATTTATAATCTAGATCGGGTTACTGAATATCGAGTTTACATTTGCGAAATTGGATACGTTAATGTTCAGTTCTTGCAAGACAACCGTTTAATTGCAGGTCAGAGGACGTAATTCGCGTTCCGGCGCGGATTATTGCGATATTAGGTTTCACGTACGTAGAAATATTTGGTAATTCAATTATTATACGAGTATAATAGTTATTGAATAAGATTGACTTCCACGGTGAAGGAATAACATCGTGTATAATAATCAGACCCGCAAAATTATAATTTGCGTAATTACTGGTGGCAGGACCTCTTGTGAGTCCGCGCGGGTAGGTACCACCACCCTGCCTATTTCTGTCGTGAAGCAGTAATGCGTTTCGGTTTGAAGGGTGGGGCAGCCGTTGTAACTATACTTGAGACCTTAGAACTTATGTCTCAAGGTGGGTGGCACTTTTACGTTGTAGATGTCTATGGGCTCCAGTAACCATTTAACACCAGGTGGTCTGTGAGCTCGTCCACCCATCTAAGCAATAATAAAAAAAAGTTATCACTAGGCGCAATGAATTCAAAGTTTCATTTTACCAAAAACAAATTTCAAATTACTCGGAAATAATTAGTTCTTGTTTTAAATGGACTCTTCAAGTTTGTGTGCTATAAGTATTATTAAAAGAAGCGAATCGATAAAGTTTTAATTCGCAAAACAAACCAGTTCCAATCCTAAGTTGTTTACAATAAAGGGACGATTAAAATGTTTGGCCATGTTGTTAATGTCCAGAAGAGGATTAAGTCGGGGCAAGTAATTCCTGCGCAAGGCCAAGCCAGTTTAATTCACAGGCTTTGAAAATATAAATGGTGTCGGAACGTTGAAGACATTTTTAAAATTATTCATCTCTAATTAAATACAATATCCTTTTTTTTCTTTCTTTTAAAAAGGGGAATATTGAAATCAACCGCTAAATTTCCTTTCAATTATGGTTTTTCGTAAGTCAAAGCCAACAACATGTTTTAACTTTACTGTATTATAATACTATGATTCGTATTTTTCAATACCTTTTTATTTACGAAGAGGTCCCGGACAAAAAATCACCGCTGTGGTCGCATGTTTTTAAGTCTCAATTTTATGGTAAATTTGCTGCGTGGACAATGTGTAGCGAAAGGAAATTAATGGCCGCGAGTAACGAGCCTTGTGCTTGTGCGGTGGGACACGTTTGAATAAAAATTCCCGAGCGATACAATAGTATATTTGGTTTAAACACTCGTTCCATAGCGAATTCTTAATGCCACGCCGCATTTAATTAATAGCTTCACTTAGTTTCGATTGGATAGAATGCCGTTTTAATTGTGTTCGGAGCTACAGTGAGTTTTTTCTTATTGTTTAGTTTGTTACATGATCTGTATTTAATCGAGACTAAAAATTCAACTGTGGGAAGAACATAAGTAGGTTTTAACAAAAACATCAACGGTGTTCTGTGTAAACGCGTGAAAATTGTTGTGAGCCCCAAAATAATATTAGACATGCTCTCCAAAAACCATTAGCGTTTGTTGTGTATATTTAAACATCGAACTTGGTCGTTGTCCATAGATTAAAGGGGCCTTCGACATGCTCACTGTTTGGCGGAAAACCCTTGAGATTGGATGACTGAGCAAATTCTACAGGTAGCTTTTTCAATGGCTCTACACTTTTTCATCTTTCTCAAGTATATTTTATAAGGCATCTACAAAAGAGGGTCGCGAGGGAGAAACAAAATTCGCTTGTTGGCAGAAAATGGCATCTTAATCTGCTTTGAAACTGCTTCACGCAATCTCGAAATTTCTCGCCAGCATTCTCAATAATTTCAGTCGTGCTGTCATGTGTAGAGTCTAAAATATTTGCCAGCTAAATTCCATTTTGTGTACTTATTTCATAACTGCAACTATATTTTGTACTACTCTATTTCAAGATTTTTTTAATGAATTTTATTTTTGTATAAATTGTTTTGACAAAACATTCGTTTAAATGGTGGTTATATATAATATTTATTATACATAATAATTTATATAGGATACATTTTTTTAAAGTATAGTCAAGTCGCATCACCGCGCACGGCGATGCTCTTTCAATATTTGTAAAGATGGCTTCCTAAAAAAGCAGAAGTTAAGAGCGTCTTGTTTTTGTAAAATAGAATAAACTTTAGCTAACAGCAGAGTAGCGTAGTTTGTACGGTCATAGTCACTTTACAAGAAAAACAATCGGATTTTTTTTTTTTTTTTCAAACGTCCGACCAAACTGTGTTCAAGCAAATTTGAATAGACTGAGAATTTAGTAACTACATTTTATAGGTAAAAAAAAACGATAATAATTCGATACACTATTTATGAGAATTAGCTTGAGAAAATATGAATATTTGTCATAATTTATATTAATCGATAAAATGTTAACACAACTATTCTATTTATTGAGGCTGTCTAGTAGTACGTTGGTCGGCCCAGTGTTATCTGTACTAATTCTGAAAGGTTTCCCTCATATTAAAAGCTGAACATTCCATATTAATTATAGGTATATCATACTAACTTCGTCAGTGTATAATAATTATTAATTTGATTAATTACTATCATCATTTAGCCGAGCTAAACACATCTTGATTGCGTTATAATTGCTTGTACATGTACATAATATGTCGTTTGATGTACAGGTAATTTAGCATCATCTCTGTATCTCGTTTCGTTTTGATCATCATTAATAAATCGAATGAACAATTCGGTATCATCAATTAACCATTTATCATTCTGTTATTCGATAGCTTTAATGAAATCAGTGAGAATTGGTCGAACATCATGTTAGTGGCCGTCTGCAGGTGTTTTTGGACTTACTAGTGATAGTACTATAGCTAATTTATTATTCGTTTATTTTCATATATTCAATACTTCTTCTATTAAAAGATTTCCATGGCGGAATTATTCAAAAATTATTCTAATTCGCTTTTGTTATATTCTCAAAGCCATTTTATTGTAGTGTTTGCACTAATTACTGGTGGTAGGACTTCTTGTGAGTCCGCGCGGGTAGGTACCACCTCACTGCCTATTTCTGCCGTGAAGCAGTAACGCGTTTCGGTTTGAAGGGTGGGGCAGCCGTTGTAACTATACTTGAGACCTTAGAACTTATATCTCAAGGTGGGTGGTGCATTTACGTTGTAGATGTCTATGGGCTCCAGTAACTACTTAACACCAGGTGGGCTGTAAGCTCGTCCAGCCATCTAAGCAATAAAAAAAACACTAAATAAATAAAAAGGAATAAGATCTATAAATTATTATTTAAATGACCCAACATTGAGGAATGATATTGAGTAAACGAAGCTGTGAGAAATAACTATTGAAGTTGGCATGAAAGTATACTTAACTACGTCTTGTAATGATAAAGAACGTGCGTTTTTTGTTAGAGGCAATACTGAGTGAGCATAATTGTCATCTATATCAAAAATATGATAAATATACATATCGACGCTTGAAAGGCAAACGTGACTAAGCGACAATTACTGCTTTGTACATAAATGATAGGCAATAACCTTATTCGATGCACAAAAAAAATATATTTCTAGGTCTATTAAAATCATTTCAATCCTACAGCTAGATTCGTTAAAATAAAATTTGTTTTCAGGTATTTCAACTTTAGATTAGTCTACTGTAAAGTTCACGCATTGTCGCTTAGTCATGTTTGCCTTTCAAGCGTCGATATGTATGTACCTATTACGTTGCTATAACTTATTTTATAGTTGAAATTAATATATCCTCAATTCTCTTAAAACTTCCGACATATTTTAAAACAAAAACGCAACGTCGGAGGCGTTCATGGAAACTTGTTATACGTACCATACGTTCTACTATCTTCGGTAAACTTCTCAAGTGTTATCGAAAACAATCGAGCTTGACCAAACAAACAAATAGATTAGCTCTTTCAAGATTTAAAAACTTAGAAACCTTATTTATTAGAGAACTAGCTGACCCGGCAGACTTTGTAGTGCCTCAATCGATAAAGAAAATACCTAAGCTTTTGTATAAAATAAACTTAAAACAAACAAAAGGAATCCGACCGACGGAGGACACATCAAAAGAAAAACCAAATTGTTATTTTTAATTAAATTCCGAGCATTTTCATATTCATCTACCTTTTAAACCTTCTCTGGACTTCCACAAATAATTCAAGGCCAAACACTAGCCAAATCGGTCCAGCCGTTCTCGAGTTTTAGCGAGACTAACGAACAGCAATTTTTATATAGTATATAAGATAAAGTAGAAATTTAAAAAAATACTGGCATATATTACTCACTTTTTACCACTCTCGAGAAACCGGTCATATTCAACGGACATTTTGCAGCATAAATGTTTACGTTGGTGCGACGCAGAGCAATTTGTATTCACCATGTGGCCATCTGAGGACAATGCACGACAATGATTCTTGGGCTGCGTTATAATTTCATGAATTTTATGTTCGTGTTAAATTTAGTGTGTAGTTTATATTCCAGAATTATCAACAGGCATATTGTAGGTCTTTTTGGCTGTAGCGAATGTAAATCTTATTTGCGGTCTAAAGATTTCGTAGCTTCGTCAAATAATGTGCTGATAATCACAGTATGAAGGCCTGTGCGAGTTTTTTTTATAAAATACTTACCTAACGAAAAACTTACTAACCTAAGTCACGAATGACTTCTACGATGAAGGTATGACAGTCTAATAATACCAGAGCAGTAAATTTTTGAAGATAAGTTGTGCGGTAGCCTTGTTAAGTACTAAGTACAGCTATTATCTTTTCGCTCCGAACTAATCATCCAATGGCAAATCATAATTCCAATAAAATAAGGTTTTTGACTTAATGGCTCATGCTGCTAATTAACGGAACTAATAGACATCACAAAATGAGTCTCATAAAGTCTCACTGGTATTGTATTGTATAAATCTGTCTTTTAAGAATAATAGCCAAACAAACTATTAACATTTAAGATGTTCTTGTCGAGCTTACTTAATGAAGTTTACTAAATCTTACTTACTTGTCTGATTTTGATGTTGTTTCGTTTCTGTGTCCGTGAAGAACCATGTCTAGAACAAAGAAAATTAATAATGTTAATAATAATAATCGAAAAATTACCTAGCCGTTGTCGGCGGTTACAGGAGTCTTAAGACTACCAGAAAGCATTACGCAAAACCTCGAGACGTAAGCAAGAAGTCTCAACTGTATTGAATTGGCTGATCTATATTCTTTAAATCAAAGCGCATTATGGTATCGCCACAAAAAAATCTTCTCGTGGTGTCACATGAGTAAATTGATATGTTTTTCCGATTTTCTTTCATTATGGAACCATACATGAAAACTTCTCGTTAACTATTTAATTTTTTATTTATTTTATAAACAATCACGCCACGTTAACTGATCCCGTGCTAAGCTCGTAAAGAATATGTGTTACAGGTACCAGATAACGGAAATAAATGTAAAATTTTTATTATACACATACTTACATATTATTATATTTAATATACATCCATAACCCTGGAAATGACATTTTATATTTATCATACAAATATCTTCCCTTGGCGGGATTCGAATCCGCGAGCTCCTTGTGTAGTGACCATGTCACTTACCACTACACCAGACGGCCGTTAAATTGGGTCTGAGTTCCGGTTTTGAAGACTGGAGTAGTCCCACAACTTGATACAAACATACATAGCTAACTGGTTTCTTAATAAATAATGCTCTTAGCTAATGTATCTTCTTAGCTAATGTATCGAACAGAGAATCAAATATCCGTTATTGGGGTGGAAAATCAACTATCTTGTTGCCTGTTAACAGAACACATTCGGTAAGCTATATCTTGTACTCTTTAAATACTTTTACGATGTTGAGTTGAGCTACCACACACAATCTAATGTTTTCTAACGAAATGTTCTACAGTTTTATGAAAATATCATGAGGCCTCCTAATATATTAATTCTCCAAAATATGTATTAATTGAAAAAGTAAAAATTAACAGGATTTTTTGAAAGAAATTTAGCATTAAAAATATCTTAGTTCAATCAGTCCAATCCAACGGTTAAAGAATTAATTAAATTCTAATTATATGTACGATTTCAGTACAGCATTATTTGTCATTGAATTTAACTTTACATTCTAAAGTAGCATGTATATTATGTGTACAAAGGCGGACTTAATTCATTAGTGAGCTATGACCGTGTAAGATAAAAAATTGAGTGTGATTTGTAATATTCAAACAAAGCCTCATTAGAATCCATAAATTTACCCACAAGATATGTATACAATACGTTACATACGTTGATTTTTTCCCAATTTTTTTTAAAATTAGTTTCTTCTTTAACACTAACAAATACTGTAAATTTAGTTTTACGAACGTACTATTGAATTATCTTTTGATAAATATAAATTCGGACTTAGATACATTTTTTTACAGAAAAAACTATGAAGCTATTACATTTCTTTTGCACAAATAACAAAAAGTCATATTAATTGGTTTAAAATAAAAGCAGTTTTAGACCATTCTAGATTTGTATGTAATCCAATGTCGGGTCCGTAAATAGCTCGGGACATAACGGCCTTTGTTCGCGACACCTTTGGTAAAGGTGGAATGCTTTAAATATTACCGGCGTACATTTCCACTCGGATTTCAGGAATGCCACTCCTGCCTTCTTACCGCGGTGTAGCTTTATGTATTACGTAATAAGGATTCGGAAAATAGCCGTTTCAGGCCTTAGCTTACATTTAAATACCCTTATTCAACTCGTGTAGTTGCTGGTTCAATTTTAATAGTAAATTACGAAATAATATTTTAGAAAATTATATTTATTTGTTTATGTACACACAAAAAAGAAGACATAGTACAGAGTAATAGCAAAATTATGTACAAAGGCACTGCTTATTTCTTTAAGAAATCTCTTCCAGCAGACCTGCGAGAGGATTATCAGAATAATAATTAAAAGTGATGAGTGTGTGTAGAACAGCTAAAATAACAAATACAACATGTACAATATAATTATGTAAGTGAACAAAATTATGAATACATAATAATATAATGCAAATGTTAGAATAACATGAACGCGAAGACAAGAAACGCGTTAGAAATGAATAAATGAATGAGGCACTAGAACCAAATGCGTAAACAAGTGACTTAATGTTGGAAAAGGGCTTAGAAGACCAAACAGACAGAGGAGTGGTTTTGCGAAGATAAGAGTCCCATAATAGTTGAAATACTGAGTGAAATAAGTATATAGTGACAATGATTAAACTCAGTTTAATGTCCCTAATGAAATTTTCAAATATCCAAAATTACAAAGTTTGGTCTCTTAAAAGCAAACACCATAAAAAGAACTGTAAATGAATGAACGAGATTATTTGTAACAAGAAACGTCGCGTGGGTTTCTTAGAACCCGCTCATTGTAATAACATTAAAATGGCTTTGATAAGGTCGGTTAGAAATTCTATATCCGGAAACTAAACCGACGGTCAGCAAACAAGATGTGTAAATACGATACACCACACGCAACAGATAAGGCGGTTTATGAAACATGAGAAATCGTGCATTTGGTATTTTTGTGCGGATATCACTCAAGTTGTCTAATAAAGATTGTCGAGTAAAATTATGTCGTTGAAAATATCGAATATTTTGAAAAACAATTAGAACATATTATGGTAAAGAATATAATCAGGAAAAGTATTCATAAAAGGGATATTTAGTTAAGTTTTGTCTTTGAATTTTACTGGTGGTAGGACCTCTTGTGAGTCCGCGCGTGTGGGTACCACCGCCCTGCCTGTTTCTGCCGTGAAGCAGTAATGCGTTTCGGTTTGAAGGGTGGGGCTGCCGTTGTAACTATACTGAGATCTTAGAACTTATATCTCATGGTGGGTGGCGGATTTACGCTGTAGATGTCTATGGGCTCCAGTAACCACTTTACACCAGGTGGGCTGTGAGCTCGTCCACCCATCTAAGCAATAAAATAATAATAATAATAATTTCTTGATAACAATAAGTGTGACCATTCACCAATACACAGGCCGTGGGTGCTTTGGAAAAATAAATCACGTTATAATGGAGGTATTGCAAATCTTTTTGAATTCGTTTATTCATTCGAAAAATACAAAAAAGGCAAATATTATAAATCAAGAGCGGCTACATGTTTTCGACGCAAAAGGGCAAAATCGAGTCCACAATCTGGTCACGTGGACGGCGCGCGCCAAACTTGCCACGCGCTGCCCCGGCGCAGGCTATGCCCCTTGCACAATAGTTATGGTGCTCCTAGCTGGATTAACGGTCTATTATGCACGCTCCGAATTCAGGAAACTAAACGGACGTTGCACGATTCTTGCCGCTTCCTATTGTTTGCTTTTTGTTATGTTAATAAGGAAGTTTTGTTCATGCCCTTAGCTTTGGTAGCCACATGAGTTATTACAATATGCATTACTCTATTTGCGGATATCGTAAATGTTTTATCTATACATATAAATAAAATTGGAGTGTCTGTTTGTAATATTGAAATAACCGCTTTTTACTACATGCATATGAATATATTATATACGGTACATACACCAAAATTGCATTTTTTACAATTTTTGTCTGTCTGTCTGTCTGTTTGTTCCGGTTAATCTCTGGAACCGCTGGACCGATTTTGACGGGACTTTCACTGGTAGGTAACTGATATAAGGAGTAACTTAGGCTTACTTTTTTTAGACTAGTTTCACCCCGCGGCGTCACTCGCGGTACGACGGGACATAACATCGCGGGACTCAGCTATCAATAATTTAATGTTTCCGAAGCGAAGCGAAGGCGGGTCGCTAGTAAACAATAATTATACCACGAGTAGGTATATAGCTCGGTGGTCTGAACTAAGTCACATAAAATATACATATATATGGTTTTCTAATGAAAAAAGTTAAATAAAAACTTAATGTGTTGATAACCATTTACTGTTAATAATATTTTTTCTATCTTCTGTCGTATTTTTATTGCCTTGCCACTTGATAAAATCAGTGTCTACAGTTCATGTACAATTTTCTATAATATTATTATTATTAACGAACATGATGTTCAATTTTGTTTTTATTAAATTGCTATATTAATACGAGTATTTAACTGGAATAAGCACTTGAAAAAAAGCCCAGCCTCTAAAAAAATGCTAAAAATTTTTTAATAATTTATTAAGATTATATCTAAACACTAGAGATGTCTTAAATATAAAAAAAATGCTATTACTTAAAGGTATTTTTTTTTAATAATAATTTTCGTAATGGGATACAATTTTAAAATCTGGTCGCGCAACGGTCGGTGACTTGGAAAAACCAATTTCGTGTTTTAAACAAAATTATTGCTATAGTATAATCAGAATTGTTAAACAAACACGTTTTTCTTCTTTTTGTATAAATTTTAAATAAAATATCCAATATAATTTATGCATGGAACTGTATTCGAATGGCGATCATTATGGGAACCATTTTTGGTCTATTAGCTTTTTATTTATAAAGACTATTATTCTGTCTCGTTCGGGCGTTGTTTGATGCTGACTATCAAAAGACTGCAAAAGACAACGCTGCGTGACATATTTTCTTATGAGGCTATGGTGGTGTGGTATTAAAGGAATTAGGCGGGAATTTTGTGGGAATTTTTTAATCTCAACTATCCCCAGAGTATAGTTTTTAACAATATTACACGCAAATGCAATAAATATTACTTTGAACGATTTTGTATTCAGAAAATCAGTAAGATTATGGATATAGCTTTAAAAATATAATGAAGTTAAACTTTCAACTTATTTGGACTGGAAAAAAAAACCGTTGAATCTTGGTGCTGTTGTTATTCTTCAAAATGAACATTCGAGTTTGCGCCGGCATAAAGCTATTCGTGTCAATTATAATTCAAGATCTCAGATAATGAAGTATTAACAAAAAACAAAAAAAAAACTAATGCAACATTTTCACTAATTGTTTAGTTCTCAATTTGTGGTGTTAATAAATATTTTCAGCTACTAAATAGAAGTAAATATGTTGGAGAATTATTTCAACAAAATAAATAGCTATCTACGTCATACGGTCGTTTCTCGAGATTTAGATATCAACTATATTAATACGAACTGTCAGTTGGTTCGTAGTAGTCTTTTCTGTTTTATGGCTTTTTTATTCTATCATATTCTCAATCCTGATTAGTCGACGCAAGTCCATTTTCTAGGAAAGTGTCAGAGAGGCAGCATGCCTTACAACTAACTGTAAAATCTATATAAAAGCAATCTCCGCCTGGTGTAGTCTGGAAGGTTTTTATATTCTCTATAGTTAAAAAGAAAGGAAACCAATCTTCTTCTACTAGATGTTCACTTAAAAATTTTGATGTTGATTTGAAGATAGTCCGATTCTATTGATCTATGTTCCACTTATAAAAGGATATAGTGAAAGATCAATGAAAATGGATACAAAGAGTTGACGATAATCGAGTTTTATTTTCTCAACCTCCAGTGGCTGGTAGCCTTCAGGAGCTATTCCAGCTTCGTACTGCATTGAAATCGCGACCCACTGTGAATATACGGCGATAAATTCAGTGCGTTGTGTCAACTCACTAACACCTGTCTGCGCTACTTTGGCCACGTTACCCGCAGAGGTGTAGACAACTTGGAACGTCTGATGGTCACTGGAAAAGTAGAAGGAAAACATCCTAGAGGCCGGAGCCCCAAACGTTGGTCCGACCAGGTCGCCGAGCAAACCAGCAGACCACTTAGCGCTGCACTACACCAGGCAAGTGACCGGAACCGATGGAGACTGGCAGTCGACAAGCTGAAACGGAGTCACGATCCTCAGCAATAAGGGAGCGATGGAGAAGAGGAAGAAGAAGTGTCTATTCTAAATTTACATTAACGAATTCAATCGAATCATCGTTAAGTTCAGATCGTACCGATAAAAATATCTAAATAGATGTATTGGGAATGGCATGTTTTCCTATAATTCCGAAGCTATAACAGCATTGACCTAAGACACGAACGTCCCGCTGAGATCACTTCTAGTGCATTTTATTGAAGATTTATCAAAAGGAACCCGGAGCCCAGCCCTGCGGGGAATCTCGTGATTGCCTTGTTAGTCCAAATGTTAATTTATTACTGGATAATATGATGTCACCAAAACTTAACACGAATATATTATTTTATCGATGACGCTTTTTGTCATTTATTTTGAGTTGTTTTTAAAAACTATATACTATAAAGTATTATAATTCCTCTTGGATGTTTTTAATGGTCACAGTGTTTTGTAAATTAGTTTCGTTTTGAATAAAAGCTATTTAGTAAATATATGTTGTATATCTTCGGTATATGCTCTAATTATTTTATTACAGATTGAAACTTCTAACACTTATACATATGGTAAAATTTTCAAGCAAAAAATTTATAATATGTTCTTTCGTATGTCGTAGCCGAAGTGAGGTCATAAGTGCGGCTGCACCCAGAGCTTGTGATTTGAAACTATTGTCAGTTTTATCAAAATTTTTAGGTACCTACCTACTACTGTTAATTGTACGAATGACGGTTGCATTTAAGGGGCGAAAATGAAATTGGAAGTAGTACCTGTTCTTTTGCTAACTGGAACCAAGTCTTCAAGATGATCGGTAATCTTGTGTACTGATAATGTTTAGTTGTTTTAACACTAATAAAAATATCGTTTAAGGTAATGTTTTTGTTTAGTTCAATATCGTCAACACTTGTTTTAGTAATGGGTTCAATTGATAGATCGGCCACTTGCACAACACCTGCCCGACTTTCTTGGAAGTTGAAGTTGACTCCTCCTTGGTATACTAATAAGCTGCAGTATCCTAAGGCTAACAGCACAGCTGCGGCCTTAAGCATTCTTCGTCCGCCCATTCCAAAGCAGACTGGCGCCAAAACGCCGATACGCTCGCGAAAGCCTCGGCGCTTTTTCGCTCATCTGTTGTATTATAATCAAAACACTACTGATAAACGGGATTCAAGGACAGATTACGCGGCGAGACATACTGCCAACTATGGAGAACGGTTACAAACTAAATAAAAATGTAGCACAGTCGGCAAAGACGCCCGCGCCTCCGCCGCCCCACCAGGCCACGTGGTGCGACAGAAAACATAGATAGGTCTGTCTTTGTTACTCCAAGAGAAGGGTCTACCTGCGCGTGCGCCTGTCTGTCGGCTGCACGGCCGCCGGCAGCGACACCTTGTCAATGGTTCAGGTTATTGTTGGGTTACAAAATTACGTTTTCGATTTTTATGTTAACAACTTACGAATTACATACGTAATGCTTGAAATGCGATCCTTCCTTTGTGAAAGTTGTGTTAAGTTTATATTTAAAACAAAGTTATTTTTATATTATTATGTACTTAATATATTACTTTTATTTATGGATGAGTAGTTTGGAGATCAGTTTCTTGATTGATTGATTGAAAATTCTTTATTGCTCAAAAACATTGTACAAAGGCGAGCTTAACGCCATGCAGGTATTCTCTTCCAGTTAACCCTCGTTGATGAAGATTGAAGAAGTGCGTAGCTGTGATAAAGTTAATACATGGCGATAATTTAGAGAATTATAGGAAAGTGCCATGTCGTACACGGTGCAGCTTACATTTACAACTGTAGTGATTTGTAACTGTAAAGCACTTTTGGTTTCTGTTCGTTCTCTAGCATTCGGCATCATAGAGCTCTCTCTAAGGATCTCATAGATCTGGAGAATCCATAAAGTTGTCTCTAGCGCGTCCATGGTGGTTTGAAGTTGCATGAGCTGGGTCTGGATTGTGGTCAGCGGCGGCTACCATAGGTGGCATTGTTGTCTTGAATAGGTGTACCGATGCTGTGTTCATATATTTGTGTTTGGGTTTGGAGTATTTTTTTTTTATTGCTTAGATGCGTGGACGAGCTCACAGCCCACCTGGTGTTAAGTGGTTACTGGAGCCAATAGACATCTATAACGTAAATGCGCCACCCACCTTGAGATATAAGTTCTAAAGTCTCAAGTATAGTTATAACGGCTGCCCCACCCTTAAAACCGAAACGCATTACTGCTTCACGGCAGAAATAGGCAGAGTGGTGGTACCTACCCGCGCGGACTCACAAGAGGTCCTGTCACCTTTAACCGTTTATTTCCTCATTCACATACCATGGTGCTCAGACGGGTAACCTAAGGAAGCAAGATTGAAAAGTTTGAACTGAGACTATGGGCGCAGGGTACGTAAACGAATATTTCACTCAGATTGGAAGGTCATATAGATATTCAGGTGACCTGATGTTCCTTGGGTATCAAGTGAACGAAGAGTATGAAACTATCTTGAAAATGTCGTTAGTGCGATTCAGTTTTTTATCCAATACCTTCGATTCTATGACTAATACAATATCATGATGGATGAAAAATTTTAAACTCCAATTTTTCTCCAACCCGATTTTAATCTAACAAACTAATTAGTTATCAAAACAAACAATGATTTATTTTCAATCAAAATGAAATAATTAGTTGATTGTAAACATTTTATCCATGAGTAAATATTATTTGTAGATACGCTTCTCTTACATTAATGAAATCTAATGAGAGTTTGGTTTTACAAATAACAGAAGACATATTCCACACGACAAGTTTACCAAACGCCTATTCAATTATAAACCAAGCCATTTATTTACGCAACTGTCTTTGCATTAATTAGTCGAAATAGCGTAATTTCCGCTTCCCGCCTAGTGACGGAAAAAATGGAGTGCCGAATGATTTCACTTTGTCATTCTTTTAATTTGTTTCCATTGGTGTACAATGCTCCATTGTTGTGTTGGATCGGCGACCCGGCTGCCCACTGGCTCTCATCGAATCCGTGGGTGGTAATGAAATTAAAAGCCCGCCATTGTTAAGTTCGATTCCACTTAAATTATATAATGAAAGATAAAATTGGTCATCGGCCAAGTCGAAATGCGTGAGCGAAGTCTTTAGGCGGAAATTTATATGAATAAAAATCATTTTAGCCGATTATATTTAGTTGTGTGCCATACTCTGTTCGTACAAATTATAATTCGCATTTACGATAAACGTATATAAGAGGCTTCAGAGTAAAAGAAAGATTAAACCATCTGCCTCAAAAGATCTTGGAGTTTTTTTGTCGCATCGCACGAAAGGTCGAAGATAACTTTGAACAACTGATGGTTACTAAATAGGAAGATCAATGGATGAAGACCAAGATATCGCAGCATAAGCAGTTGGTCCGACGAAATCCGTTTCTCAATTCTCGGCATCAAGCTGCATCATGATCTTCATGACGTCAAGGACAGAGAAACACGACCAACAGCAGTCCAGCTCTAACAATTGCATGTACATATATAAAGGCTGGGACGAATGGAAATTGAACAAAACTCTTTGTATCTTAGTTAGGTCACAAACTAGTGCTACGTTCAAATCTGTCGAAATTTTCTAGAAATTCGATCTTTCGAAATTATTATGTCATCCTCACTGTAAATAGAAGTCGTGGGTTTTATTTATTACTAGCTTTTACGTGCTCCTTCACTCGGTTTAGTGTAGAAAAAATGTTTTACTCCTTGGGCATAGTTCTGTTTTCTAGATGAAATTTACTTTGTTGTTGTTTTTTTTTTAATTTATTGCATAGATGAGTGGACAACCTGACAGCCCACCTGACGTTAAGTGGTTAACGGAATCCATAGACATCTACAACGTAAGGTCTCAGTATAGTTATTGTATTTATATTTCTCTGTATTTCTTACGTGTATGCTAAATTTCATGAGGGCCTATTGAGTTGGTATGACGTTAAAGCATAACAAACAAACATACTAACATTTCAATTTACAAATACAGTAAAGATGTGAAATTAATTACTTGTGTCAATTAATTTTTCAATTACTTGTTTGATTTCAATTGAAAACTAAGAATTATAACCGAAATCTTAAGTAAAGTAATTTTATGTATTCGGAAAAAAAATATCAATATTTGAATAAGATTAAATTTCGAATATTTTTAATTAGTAGGATACGCGATACGTGATTCATTCACACCGATGTTAGTTATTACAAAATCACTATTCACGCTCGGCCGCCTCTTCAACGCCACATCACTGTTCATTCGGAAGTAAATTGGTCGTAATTAATTAAGAATCGAACTGGATCGGCTCGGATCGTTTTACAATGTCAGTTTTAATTGGAATTTCTATAAGCCGACCAGCGGGATAACCGCCGACCGAACGTGCCACAGTAAAGACTACAATTTTATAATACACTTAATTTTTATTATATCCACATCTGCCCCGTCTTATCAAGCGCGTAGTAACAATTAATATACCTACGAATTAAGGATTGTAAAACGTCGTTATTAATAAGAAATTGGGTCGATGTTTCTTTTTTCTTTTTTTTTTTAATTACTTCAGAATTTATTGAAGCACAATTGATTTAGATTTGAACTGAAATTGATTTGAATTTTGGAATGAAATTTCTTATGAGACGATGCGGAGGGGTACCCTAACCGGGAAAAAACGTCCGTAACGTAAGATTTTTATTAGTTATGCACACAGTGTACGACTTAACTTTGTAATAACGTACAAAAAATAACATATTTTTATAAATAATTGTGAATAAAATAAAGTTGATAACTTTGTAAAGTAGTTTTATTTTATTTTTATCAATAAAAAAATCTTAATAAAAAATATATACCCAAATAATCATTTTCTTTATACCTCGAATAGAACTTAAAATTAATATTTTTATAATAAGGAACTTCGTTCCTATCCGGTGTCCCACTATACCACACATTTTTTTTTTGTTTAATTAATGGTTTCGATTATCTTGCTAAAGGGGACTTTTAGGATTATTCACTTTACTATTACCTACAATGCTCACACGCACACTACACGCTTAGAGGTTGTCACGTACAGTCAGAAGGAACGGTGCTCTTGGCGGGTTCAAATTCACATAGGCCGCTTGGCGTTTTGAATGTTGTCCTGCATAATAATAGAAAACAGGTGTTGGTGATGTTTTATTTTGTCGATGACGTTAGCGGATAAAATCTCGGATGTTCCAAAGCTATGCAATATTCGATTTAATTTTGAACAGTAATTACGTTGGTTTTTTTTTTATTTTTTTATTGCTTAGACGTGTGGACGAGCTCACAGCCCACCTGGTGTTAAGTGGTTACTGGAGCCCATATACATCTACAACGTAAATGCGCCACACACCTTGAGATATAGTTCTAAGGTCTCAGTATTGTCACAACGACTGCCCCACCCTTCAAACCGAAACGCATTACTGTTTCACGGCAGAAATAGGCGGGGCGGTGGTACCTACCCGTGCGGACTCAGAAGAGGTCCTACCACCAGTAATTACGCAAATTATAATTTTGCGGGTTTGATTTTTATTACACGATGTTATTCCTTCACCGTGGAAGTCAATCGTGAACATTAGTTAAGTACGTATTTCATTACAAAAATTGGTGCCCGCCTGCGAGATTCGAACACCGGTGCATCGCTCGATACGAATGCATCGGACGTCTTATCCTTTAGGCCACGACGACTTCAGTTCAGACTTCGACGAATGAAGGCATTCGAATTACGACTGTGCAACACTGAAGATATTTATAGAATTGGCACCACGAAAGGTACTTTACGATATTCTCGAAGGTTTCCTAATAGAACGGTAGCGAGAAAGCCAAATTGTATACTATTGTTAATTGCGGAAGCGTGTTGTAATGAGGATCGCACACGCCAATGCGTCAGGAACTGCAAACCGTGGGAACAATAAGCTAACACGATTACTTAATTATTTCTTAAAAGACTCGTTGTTCTTAAGTAGTTTTTCTAATGTTGAGTCCTGATGTTCAAGTTCAAGAACAGGTGTCCATGGACGACTTAAGAGATAACGTCGTACAGTAAAAGCCAGAGAGGCAAGTATACCTGTTAAGAGTAGGTATGTAGTACATTGGAAATCCCTACGGGTCCCTACGAAATTCATACCCGACCATAGTATGAAGAGTAAGACCTTCAGTACATACACAATAAAACTGAG